GGCGAAGCAGCTGCTTTAGCCTCGTCCCCTTATAACGTCTTGCATGAATCATTCAAACTGGGCAATATTAGAGGGCTAATGATGTTTTTGTTGCTGATCATCGTGGTAACAGACGTTTGTTATATGGCTGTGGATTGTTCCACTATCATGGTATTTTGTCAATTGTGACGACGTTTCTGGTCGTCAATGGCATCTAAAGTGATAAAGCAAATTAAAAAAAGAAAACGGGCTACGGGTAATATATGGCGTGCATCTGCTCAGAAACTGCGATAAAGGCCAAGAACATCAAATTATTTTCACCTGTCTCTATTGTAGTTTCCTCAAAGAGATTCTTAAATGGAGCAGGCTTGCAGCAACGATTGTCTCTCGATTTCAGTTTAGTTTTTTCTAAATCAAGATTATTACTCGGGTCGCAGTTGGTTGGAGCGCCTATCTAGTAGACTCGCAAGTTTAGATACCAACTCTCCGATGTTAGCAAAGATATCTGGGAACTCATGGCTGTTGGTCTAATGGCATAATTCCCGCTTTATGTGCGAGAGGTCCCGGGTTCGACTTCCGGAGATTCCCGTTGTTGTGGAATACAATGTGAATAAAGTTTTTGATCTATATATAATTAAATGTAGGAGATTAGCGTCTTACACGAATGTTTGATATCCATTCCTAAATTTTCTCAGAAATGCCGGGCCCTTTTGCGAAACTACTGTATGTGAATATATCTCATGGGTGTACATATTGCGATTCTACGCACACACGTGTACTCGTTGCAGACCTATTTTTTCATTTCGTTCTCGGTTTCCGTTGGGAGCAGTGAACATCACTCGTGTGAATCCCAACAAATAATCGCAGGACGGAGGTTGAGTAAAGAGTGCAGGAAAGGTGTCATACCAACAAGTTTATTCATTTGATCTTTACACGAGCATAGACAGAACAATCTAGACTGAGTAGCCACTGGTAAGCGTGTGTGTTAGTTCACTCACCCTCAAAATATTCAGAAAAAAATATTATGATAAGAAGATAATTATAAAACTTTTTAAAATTTTTTTTATAGTGCAGACGATTGTGACAAAATTTGTTCCTGGCAAGGTTCAAACCTGCGACCATCCGCGTGTTGGGTGGATGTGATAACCACTACACTACAGAAACTTGCAGGTACGTGGCGTCTACGCCACGTCTGAAATGTCATGTTCCGAATAAACTAACGGCGGAATCGAGGAGGGTGTTGTAAGAACAGGCTCGGTTGTTTCTATCATTCATTTGCTTTTCACTCCTGTTGCTGAATAGCTGGTGAAGCTGGGCTGTCAGGTGGCACGCGAGTTACGCACGCTCGAACGTTTCACCTTAAGTTCATAGTGATTCGAGTGTCAAAGTGTCAATTTTCCATGTAATTGTAGACACCAGAAAGACGTTGAAGACGTGAAGAGAACGATTTTGCATAGACAGAGTAAACGACAGGGTTTCGCGAAATTATCTTAAATTTACTCCATACGGGTAAATTTTGCGATTCTTAGCCAACACGTGCACGGATTTTTAATTTCGTTTGAGCTTTCTGTGGTGCGAATCCCGGCAAATAATCGGGATACAGAGATTGACAAGGCCACATCAAATTACTAGACGAAAAAGCTGTTCTCGAGTAGTTGGTGTGTTTTTTAATTTACCTCAGCCTCGACATACCCATAAATAATAAGATTTTCATGAAAAGAAGACTTAAATTTACTTTATTGAATTTGGAGTAATTAATTATCTTCACAAGGAGGAAAAAATAAGTGACAAAAAGTGAATATATTTCATACTTTTATACAATTTGTTAGAATTGTAAGGCTGCACATACTGCAGTGGTGTATGCCCACCTTCCAAGCAAAGATATAGTGGTCACAAATCCAAGCAAAGATATAGTGGTCAGAAATCGAAAATGTTATTGGCAGAGCTCGAACCTACAACCTTCCGCGTGTTAGGCGAACGTGATTAGCACTACATTACAGAAACCGGCACATTAGTCATATTAAAATTATAGTTTTTTATATAATAAATAAATAAATGTGGAAGTGACAAGGAAAAACATACAAGATGATTTACATAAAAATAATACTCTACTTAGTGAGAAGAAGATCTTGTGGTGGAATCTTAAGGAAAAGTGGACACATTCGAGGAGCACAACAAGACTCCTTAAATGAGTATCCATACAGACAAACCTTTGAGAAAATGAATGACGCAGTTCATATCAATTAAACAAGCATATTTCATAGGCATCCTTCTGAAGAGTAGCGCATTCGTGCCATCCTTTTCTCATTGCGTTCAAATTTTATTTGTTTTCGGCAACGCAATCGACTCTCTCCGACTTTGGTTGCCTTGACAAAATGAATGAAAAACGTGATCACGGATTTGTTTTAGTTTATCCTTCGTTAGGCGAATGTTCTCTTCTATTCCACTGTTCCTCTTGGGTAATATCGTTTGTTTATAGATATTTAAAAGCACCCTTTGACTAAGAAAGGGTGCAATTCTATTCAACATCTTAAGCTTGGGATATATCCTAGAGGCTAAATATGTAATATGCTTGTTCCAGCTGAGAGTATTATCTATATAAACACCTAAATATTTGAAGTCTTCACACTGTTTCAGTAGCCTCCCATCCATAATGATTTGTAAGTCTGGAGCATTTTTCACTGCGTGTTTTGATCCAATCAGGATTGCTTCTGATTTCTTGTGATTGCAGATAAGACCATCAGTACTGAGCCGATCGGTAATTCTTCCAAGATCTTCATTTACATACAGTTCAGCAATTTTAACATCTTTAGAGCTGGTGTGAATTCCTGTATCATCAGCGTACAATACAATATCACAGCTATCACATACGTCTGAAATGCTATCTATATGAATATTAAATAGAGTCGGGCCTAGCACAGAACCCTGCGGCATTCCATAGGTAATCGTCAATTGTTCGGAATCAGTTTCATCACATGAGACAAACTGGAGTCTTCCAGACAGATAGCTTTCAAAATTTTCGAGTAAAAGAGCTCTATCGGAATGGAACACCTCTATCCTACTGAAAGGCGATTGGAATAGATTTTATCTACTCTCAGACGATAACAGGGAAAGTGGAATAGACTATAGTCTATAATAGACCTTACGACCGGTAAGGAGCGATCACTTGAATACACACCTGCCACCTGCTACGCGTCAAAGCAATACTAATAATTTTTTTAGAGTTTTTATATTACCTGGCCTGTTGGTCTAGTGGCATGATTCTGGTCCCGGGTTCGACTCCCGGACAGGCCCGTTTTGTCGTGGAATATGATGGGAGCAGAGTTCCCACAGTTGGGTAGTTTAAGACGAAGGACTGACAAATCAGACAAAATAATTTCAAACCCGTCGTCACACTCCGACAAAAAGTTGTTGCATTACAGACTTTTCAACATTTTTTAAAATGATGCTAATGCAATTCTGTAGTTGCCATAGGCAGTGGTTAAAACTTAAATAAAGGCTTTTTTGTGTGGATGTAATGATGTGCAGACGCAGCAATTTCGACAATTGCTGGAAGGCGACATGTAGAAATTCAAGATGACAAATTACACTTGAACAGTACCGTTCAATAGTCATCAATTGCTGTTCTGTAGTTTGTTTATCTAAGTCTGCACGAGCACAAAAAAAAACCGTTCAGAGTGACTTGCGAACCGGTAAGGGTCTCTTAATTAGTTTTACATCAGTCTCAACATAATTAGAAAGAAGAAGGTTCTCATGAAAAGAAGAGTATCACTAAACTGAAATTTAATTTATTGAATTTGAAGTTATTAATTGTTCTCACAAGGAAGATTAAATAATGGACAAAAAGTAATTAGAACTACTACCATACAGTCAACCCATCCTATTATCAAAAATATAATCGGAACTGTTTCTGGCAGGTAAGGCGGACGTGATAACTCCACGTTCACAAAGGAGTTTTCACAATTGATATTTTAGAATTATAGTTTTTTTTTTATCAAAAATTAATAAATGAATACGTTTCAAGGAACTTCACGGTCAGGGGAATGTTCTCTTCTATTCCACTGTTTCTTTTGTAGTTTTGAGTGCATCTACAATGTATTCTCGCTGACTTTGCGTTAGGAACTATAAGGATCACGACTACTTACTTATCTTTGCTTTATTTCCAGGTGACTAGGAAAAGTTTTATTTCATCTTATTGAAACCTCTGTGTGGCATTCATGAAAAATGAATTTAAAATCTTTCATTTTGCCTTTTTCTCTCTAGAACGAATACAAATTCTTTATTTCTCTGGTTCCACACCTGAGTTGCTAAATCACAGGGCTACGTTCTTGTACGGTATGGAGCAAAGCCCCTAGCCTCCGTCGTAGTTGTAAACGAAACGCTACAAAAGACTTATTGTAATCTATGTTTGTTAAAGTGACTAATTAGAAATTAAAGGAGCCTCCACTGAGCTTAGCTGTATTATAAAGAACACACAGGAGGATACTAACGGAAAACAGAAATGCGAGACTTCTCTCTCTTCTGGTGCCCCGCCTTAACCAAGCAAAACTTAATGAACACGTAATTTCGCGGTCAAATTTACCAGACAGTATATATTGTGATGATTTTCAAACCGCAGAAAGAGGTAAATTTACGGTTGTTCAGAGTGACGCCAGTTTATCAATTTATGAGCAACAATACTCGACAAAACTTACAAAAGAAGCGAAAAAATAGCAAATTCTTTCTGTCATGAGGTTTCTTACCCTTGTCATCACAGTTATTTATTGATATATTTATTCATTTTTACACCGAGGCATTTGTTCATTCAGCTAGGTATCTAATTAATTACTTGTTTATTCATTTATCTACCAATAACCATTTGATTTTAATATTTAGTGTATTCACCCTTTCGTTATCAGGTGGGTGTTTTCTCTTGTTTCGCTTTGTCTGTAAGCGTTATTTATTTTCAGTTGTGTTCCAGTCTGAAATAAAGACAAAATTTTTCTTCTCAGTCCCCGAGCATCCTGAAATCTACAGCTTGCATGGTAAAGAGCACCGTTCTGGCTTCCAAAGCGGATGGCACCGTACTTGCTTACCTTGCAAAGTTCAAAGGTTGGAAACGATGGGCTTCATCATTATTTACTTGTCAATCCCTTTCGAGTCGCAGTTTACTTACAGTGCCTGCTCAATGAAGCATATTCTCCGGCTCCAATTATTAACGCTGTCTACAGCATTGATTGGGCGCAGCAGAAGGTTGGTTCATCAAAAATGTCTTCACACCCTCTGGTCATCAAAAATGTCTTCACACCCTCTGGTTATTCAATGATCAATGCATCTCAGAGAATTCTGAGTAGGTCAAGGGTCGAAAAAGATCCTGTGACCCCTGAGATCTTACAAGCCCTCGTGATATCAAATATAAAAGATAAATTTCCGTCTCTTTCTGATCTCAGACCGGTCGCTCTATACCCAATTGGCTACGCGGGGTTTTTCCGTTTTAGTGAATTACGCCATATAGAGGCCTGCAATGTAAAGTTTTCCCCTCGTATGTTTCTATTTTCTTAGAATCTTTTAAGACGGTCGACCAATTCCGAGATGGGTCGTGGATCGTTATCGCTAGGTCAGACCTTCCGACCTGTCCTTTCTAGACTTAAGAGGACCTTACATATCAGCTTCACAAATTGACCTCTGAAGATCTACCTTCCCAACCGTAATTTTCTGTTAACATGAAAGTGAGGTACTTCCGTCTTGTCAATGGAGAGAACCATTTCTTTCAAACGTGACTTACATTGATACCTCTTCCTCCTTTGCTTTCTTAAATTTTCCACATGAGCAGTTGGTCTACCGATTTAAAAGAGGATTCCACCCACATCTGTACAAGTTTTGTTTTTATGTTCGGCAGATAATGATCCTATGGGGCAAATACAGCAAGTCTGTGGCTTTTTCACATGGTGCTGATCCTCTTCTTTAGTTCTAGAGAAGATTAATGAGTGAAAGAGGTCTATTAGAAAAATAATATATTCGAAATAAACCTGAGCCATGCATAAGCATCATTTCTCAAAAGACGAATCAAGCAAATGTAAGGCGCCATTGGAGAATCCGGGTATCGATCCATTACAGTCTGTGCACTTAAATGGTTTTGAAGGGAATCGCAAGAACGTCCAACGACTTTATTTGCTTAAGTCCAAATGCAAAAGAAAGAGAAGTACCGAAAATGAGTCATTCAGTATATATTTAAGTCTGAAAAAAGTAGGAGTGTATGAAATCATGGTTGGTCTAAGTAAGGGTCAGGCTTAAAAGAACTTGGTGGTAAATCCCTACCACAGATTCCAACGAGCACCCCGCTGTATGAAGTTATGGAACTAATAATCTTAAAAATGGAAATGAAACATAGAAAAATAGTCTTGACATTTAAATCGTTTCATCGAAGCAAATTATTTGTTTTCCCCCTAGTTATTGAATTAATTATCGTTTGTAGAGAAACAAATGAGTCTTGGCATGTTTTTCGATCATTTCATTGAAGCAACTTATTGTTTTCTTTGGTCCGTGTGAGGTTGGAACCCACGACCTTGCGTACGCGTTATCAGCACCACGCTCTACCCACTGAGCGAACGGACCAAATACAGCCATTTACCGCATTCCATAAAATGAAGTATAAATAAATAAGAAAGTAAGTGAGAGAGCGAGTGAGTGAGTGGATGGGTAAATGTATAAATGTATAAGTGAGTAAGTTAGTAAGTAAGTAAGTTGGTGCGATAGTCACCGCTGTGTGGACGCTTTTCTGCGCGCCACCATACCATAGTTCACTCAGTGCCGACGTAATTTTTAATACTGGCTTAATAGACTTTGAGCTGGTAAAGAAATTGGTACCGGGATCGACTAGAATTGATATCACGTCCTAACAAGCAAAATGCAATCGATTAAAAAAATAAAATTTTGGTGCAAAATGTGGACTTCATTCCTCTAACCTTCGATCAACAGCCAGTCAGCTTTGCTCAATCGGACCCTTGGAATCATATCAAGCTCTAAACACATCTGAATGACCATCAGAGGTTTTGCGTCAAAATATAAGCAACTGACAAAGTTAAATACTTCCCGCGTGCTAAGCGGACGCTCTTCCACTTGAGCTAATTCCCCAGTCACAGATTGTTGTTGTTGTATCTATTACTTTATCTATTTATTTCAGTTTGATAAGATCAATGAGTTTTTCGTATTTAAGGTTCCTGTAGTGTACTGGTTATCACGTCCGCCTCACACGCAGAAGGTCTCAAGTTCGAGCCTTGTCAAGAACAAAGTTATTATTTTGCAAATATGTCCGCAGTTCAAAATCTGCTATAGTTTCTAAGTCGAAAGACACGGTTTCAATTATCTGTACATAGTTTACTTTTTTTTTAGTACTGTACATACTTTCAGATTTTTGCAGATTTCTATCATTATTATTACTATTATCTTTACTATCAGCATTATTATAATCATTATCTACATATTGATCTTTTTTCTTCTTTGTAGCGATACCTGGAGAATAGCGATACTCATAATACTGCAATGAACTAACTCAACGACGTTCGAGGAGAACAATACGTCCTCAGACACAGCTGCGAAAGGGTCTTTATCCTCCTCATCAATTCTTGTGCAGTGACGATACACGCGAGTTATAAAAGTAATTTTAGCCACGGTATCCGCTCGGTGATCCTTTCTTTGGACATTTGGGGCCGGTTATTTACACAAGGACTAAACCAAATCGCGGTTTTACGCAACCAGTAGGCCTAAGGGATTCTCTATTAGAGGGTTGATTTAATTGAATAAATGTCCCTCCACTATCAGCTTTGAGCCCTTTTGACTTAAAAAATAAATCTTGAGATAAAAAGTGCGGCTTAATTGAAGATGGTTCAGAACAGGGTTTTGTCAAAGAGCGGCTAAACTTTCTTTTTATAAGAATAAACAATATGGGAACAAATGGAGAATCCGGGTATCGATCCCGGTACCTCCCGCATGCAAAGCGGGCGCTCTACCACTTGAGCTAATTCCCCAATCCTATTTCTATCCTGCTTGCTTTCAGGGGCCCCGCCGTTTATAATCAATGATTCAATATTATCTTGAAAGGTTAGTTTTACTAAGTAAGTATTAAAGACGCAATATGATAAAAAAAAATAATTGAATCAAGAGAGTTTTGGTGTTGCATGGCTTGTCCAGTACGACCAGCAAGCGCACCAATAAGGGACTCAGTAGGTCCTTGCCTGGTCTGTCGAATGAAGTCTTCGTTGAAATAGTCCAGGCTTCTGGTGACAATTGCTTGTCTAGTAAACTTGCGGGTCCAAATCCCATCAGCGCCTTTTTTCTAATTAGGAAAATCTCCCTGACGGAACGTAAAACGAATCAAAGTAACACTATGATGAACTCGTGGCTGTTTTTACGTAAGCTAAGAATTCCGCTGTACCAGGAAAAATTCCTCCCTTAGTGATCCAAAATCGGCCCGCCATCTTTAATAAGTTGCATGCCCTTACCACGAACTGTGCATATCAAATCTCCACATCATTGGCTGCTTCGCATATCTACAAGTTAAAATTAATAGGAACATAAAAGCTGGCATGTATCAATTCAATATATGTTCTGCGGTTAGCTTCTTCTTTGTTCGGAAAGTCATAATGACAAAAAGATCTAAAGGAACCTAAATATTGTTTTCAAAACTACTGGTTCTCTAGGGCACCTATTATACATTGATATCTGATCGCTACAGAGCTCCTCGGTAGTATAGTGGTGAGTATCCCCGCCTGTCACGCGGGAGACCGGGGTTCGATTCCCCGCCGGGGAGATATTACTTTTTCATTTACAGGTGATTAGAAAACTCCCATTTTTATGTAGTTAAAAACTCTTTGTGGTATTCATGGAAAACAGCAGATTTGAAATTTTTGTGAAGCGCATGTGAAAATGGAAACAGAAACAACCCGACCAGTGTCATCAAAGGAAGTAAATGTAATCTATTTTGTCGTATAGTTTAGGTTCTTCTCGAGATGATAGAGGGAGATTGTCTTGGCTGTCGTCATTCTATGAGTTCTGGACCGCACAAATAAGGGCTAGTACTAGTAAAATTTCAATCTTGTGAATTGCCAAACTCTTGCTGTATAACAATGTATATCTTATTTTTCCTTCTGCTCGTAAAGATGACTGTAGTAGTTGTTTTACTAACTCCCACTGACTTATTGGGTGCAGTTTGCGAAATGTTTTTTTTCGCAAAAAAATGATTGGAATTGAACCCACGACCTCCATCTTGGACGGTAGGTGCCCCAGTTTTTACTTAGTCATTTTTTGTGGCCTCTTGCGAAGTCAGCTCTATCCTTCTCTCTATGACCTGCTTCAATGATCCGTAGCTGTGGAATTATTTTTTTTTGTGTTGTGTGAGGTGTCTGTGACACAGCTGACATCAATTTAATTTGCAACCGGTAGGTGAACATGTGCCTAAATTAAATCTTTAAGCATTTTGGTCTATCTCAGTCTTAATGACCTCTTAATAAAGAAAGGTTCTTGTGAAAATAAAAGTCTGATGATATTTTGATTTTTTTGACAGAATTTGAAACTATATAAAATAATAACTTTGTTCCTGGCAAGGCTCGAACTTGCGACCTTCCGCGTGTGAGGCGGACGTGATAACCACTACACTACAGGAACCTTAAAAATTCGTTAAATATATCAAATTGAGGTAAATAGATAAAGTAATAGATACAAAACACAACAACAACAGCAAAAATAGAAAAATGTATGATTATCTACGCGGAAATAAAACTTTTTTCGAAGAATTTGTAGTGCAAGTGGAAAGAAAGGTTTGTTGGAGATCTACTCAAGGTGCAAAACAAACCTTCACTGAATGAGCATTAATCCAGACAGAAAGCTGTGACAATCAGAATGAACGGCCGTATTATCAGTAATGCTTCCTGAGTATCCTCTGGTAGGTCGCTGTCGCTCGTGTGGTTAAAGGTCCTAAAGGGTGGTAAAAAGTATTTTTCAACAGCGATTGTTTTCGTGTTGTGGTGGGACGGCGCAACCACTTTATCATGGAATGCGTCTCCACTGGAATATGTTTTTGACATGAAAAGGATGTACCTCCCGTTTAACCAATCCAAATGTCTCTTATCTTCAGCCAATGGATTAAAGCCTGCATTTGCAACCTTCTTTCTGCCTTCTTAAATGTTCAGCGTGACAAGTGGACCTACTGGGTGGGAAAAAGAGGCCCCTAGACGAGTGAAAAGGTTTGTCTCTTCTTCGTTCGTAAAGATCTTGCGGGTCAAATAAAAAGATTTAAAATTGCATACTGAAAAGGTCTTGCTCCTTTTCAAAATGAGAAACTTCCTTTTATAGACTACCTGGTAAGCCGCGACGACATCTCACTTCGGAAAACAGTCTACAGGAAACGACCCATACCGAAAGATTACTAAGATTCATCGGGCTACATCACACAAAGTCACGAAAATTAAGACTCTAATACGACAAGAGCGACCAGTATGCTACACGACAGACAGCTTAGCCGACGAGAACGAATACTTTGACGTTGGAAACACTCACCGACCTACTGCAACTACCTAAACAAACGACACCGCAATTTCTACGACTTCAGCGACTATACCGTACATAAAGGTAAAAGATATACGTAAATTAGATAAATATTATCAGAATTTCTTTTTTTTTTAATCGAACTTTACATTAACGTTGTATAAGGCTGTTTCAGACAGCAACGTTTTTAAAAGGGGAAATTTTGGAGGATCCAGGTATTTCATAACATAAATTTAATCAAGTTGTACGCAAATTTCAGTGTATTGCCGTTGGCGATCCTTCTGGTTTTTTAATTTTTTTTGCTTTTCTTTCTTTTGATTGCTACGAAGACGCAAAAAATTAGCTAGAAAAAATGAAAGCCACGGACAAAGACAATAACGTAATCACTTGTAATCCTGGCGCTTACGAAAAATGTTGACGTTGTGTTGTCACATGACGTATGCGACCTGGTGTCACTCTCTGTCGATTACT